ATCGCAATGTAACTCTACGTAAATAACTTGAATACATAATGTACTTATATTAAAAAATTAAGAGTCTTTTTATAATATAATTTATTTTATAATACATTTCCATATTTCTTATTAAAACACAAATTGAAAAAAATACTACTATTTATTAAAATAATTTATGATCGAGATAGTAAAAAATCATCACCAAATTTGTCGTATTATTTTTAATCGTGATTTAGAATAATCTGCAATTCATAATTTTCATTTCATAATTTTGTTACCGTTTGGAAAATACATATAAAACATTTTTAATGTATTTCTAAATTATGATATTTAAATTTTAATCAATAAGTATCTTATAAAACTGTAATATGACTACATACGTCGGAAATACAGGTCTTAAAGTAAAATACAAGTCAAGCTGGATGAATCTTTAATGTTGAGATAATTCTGTGTGAATTTATATACTTACTCTTCTTCAATCCTTCAAATTGCGCGCTGAATTAACTTTCGATGTTAAAACGTAATTTAAATTTTAAATAATAGATATGCGCTTGTAATACAATCATTTTAAATATTTCTGCTCTTTTATAATGTAAAAAAATATATTTAAAGGGAGAAAGATATTTTTAATAGTTAATTTTTAAAAATATTTTTAATAATACTTTTATCAAAAATAAATAGATTTTAAATGTTTATTTTTATTTAGGAGGAACGCGAACTCTCTGATATGGAAGTTAGTTTGCATCGCACCAAAAGTCTTTTAGGTGAGAAAATCATTCATCTAAGACATTTGGAACAATCTTTGGAACGAGTGGCAAACGACAAGCGAAATGAAAATGATGCTAAAAATGATGAACTAAGCGACATGTCGAGTGCCAGTAGCGGTTTCAGCTCGACTGATTTAGGAACTGATACTTTCATAGGTGAGTTGCAAATAAAAAAAAATTTGTTTATCATTGAATTATGTTATTATATTATAAAATAAAATTCAAAATCAAGTAAGAATTAAATAAATCGTATTATTATATTATTATAGTGATAATAATGAATAAAAATTATTTTATGTTTTATTTGCGATATTCTCTATAATTTGATATTTATAAATAAATTCTAATTATTTCTGTATTATTAATCCTTATTAGTTTAATTATTTGATTACACCTGCATCTGATTTATAATTGTTTTATTAATTTTATAAAGAAACAATAAGAAAATTATATATCTTATTTTTAGAAAACTATATTAGAAGATGATAAAGTATACAATCATATCATACGATATATATAACTACTGTATAATTGAAAACATTTGCATTACATTGTATAGTTTGTTGTTGGAAATCTAGATAAGCCAGATCATTATCAAGAGTCTACTGAAATCATTGCAAGTTTAGAAAATTTGAACTCAGAAATACGAGAGATTTGGGATGTTTTAAATAAACGACAAGACAGTAACATACCTGCAACACCGACACTTATGTACTCTTATTTGCGTTGGTTACGGTTTCATCATCTTACCACGCAGCCTAATAGCATGCAAGGTAAAAAAAAATGATGTAATTTATATAAAAATTAAAGAATATAATATTATATTAGTCAATATAAAATGTCTTCAAAATTAATCAATATTATATTCCTAGATATATATTGCGCGTGCGTGCGTATCATTAAATGTTAGTTTAAAGTAGTATTAAAATATAATGGATGTATTCCATTTTTCACGTGTTTAATTTAAATTTTTTTGCAAATTTAAAATGCAAAATACAAAAAGGTTATTTTAATTTTAACATAATTTATTTTTATTTATAAAAAATTGCAAATATGAACAATTTCTATTTTTTTAGGTGCCTTTGGTACGCCCAATATACAATCTAACATCCTATCTCAATTAACTGCTGCACAACCTCCTATTACCACAACTCAAAATATTATCGCTCAGTACGGTCCTAATAGCGGCTTTAGCACCAGCGTTGGTAGTGTCGAAAGGAATGCTTCAAATCTGATGGAAAGGACCAGAAACCTCAGGGATTGGCTACGCCAAGCTCGAATTGAAAATACTGACTTGATTAGTCCTGGTCAGGCGACTCTTTAAATGTCT